TATTTATGAAAGTTTAATTATGAAATTGACTGAGCCACCAGGAGGTAGTTCAGATCGTTTGACAGAGAATAGGCGGGTTCGAGTGGGAGTTCCTCGGCCTGCGGATGCGATAGCGAGAGGGAGTGGGGTTGCACACTTAGCTACCTCACGAATAAATATGTTTAATGAAACTCTGAGACTTTGAAGAAGTTTCAGAGAGTTTTAATTAGTGAGTGCCTACGGAGGCAGTTTTAACCCGACGTATTTACCTTACGATGAAATGATTAAAATAATTTTATAACGTACTTAAAAGATTATGGTGCTCTGTAAGAGCAAGGAGTCTGTCCTGAGGGGACTTGGCAGCGCGCAATTTGCGTGCTAAGACTGTGATCTCCCCAATGTTGATGTTCTTAATAGCGGCGTACACCGTATTTAGATCATCAGCCACTGAGGGTTGTTCATGCTGTGCAGCGGGGGACGACCGCGGAGGGTCGGCCTTTTTGGGTCCCCAGGGAAAGACTGGAGGCTGTAATGGTTGCGAGAAGCCCGGAGGTGGGCGAAGAAGAGGGGGAGGGACCCGGGAGGGCCTTGGGTCTACCTGAGATGGGCGAAAATATCTCTTAGGTGGCAATCTTGACGGGAGGGCCGGGAATGACTTAGCATTAACCGGCGGTGGAGCGTGCCTAATGGGGCGGGGGTGAGGTGCGCAAGGGCAGCCTCTGTAGTTAGCCGGGTGGCCTGTTTGTTTGCACAGGACGCACGCGGGTGGGGATTCGGCATTTTTGGGCCGGGGACACTCTTTCGTGTTGTGGGGGTCGAGGCACTTAACGCACCTGGGTGGGGCGGAGCAGTTGGCCGCCGCATGACCATATAATTGGCAGCGGTGGCACTGCGCCGGGTAGCCGCGCCTATGTGGGAGCTCAGCCCTAACTCCCGACAGCCCACACACTGTGCGTAACTGCCGGAAGATAGTCTGTGCCTCCGGAGCGTTTGAAAGAATAACGAGAGCGAGGGGGAACCTCAAGCCCGTTCTGCTGTGCATTTTAAGCACAGCCTCAACCGGGAATCCTTGGGACTTAAGGTCCTCAAGGATTTCCTCGTTGGAAATTTCAAAAGGGACGCCTCGGATGACGGCCCTGATTTTGCGCTCTTCCGGAAGAGCGTACGTGTGATAAGAGACTTTTTCGGCTGTGAAGAGCCTGGTGAGACGACGAAAGTCGTCGACAGATTTGGGGAAGATTTTAATAGCCTCCCCGAGGTTGGTGGCTTGGTCATATTTTATTCCTGCGTCGTAGCAGGTTTTGGAGAGGCGGGTGAATTGAGCCTTGTCTCGTAAGAAGACAGGGGGCGGAACTTGCTTCTTAGTCGGGTTAGAAGCACAGCGGGAGGCCGGCTTGGGCAGTGGTGTCGCGGAAACTGCAGCGGGAGCTGCGGGGACTGAGGCAGCTACGGGGGCTGCGGGGGCGGCAGAGGCCGCCGAAACGTTTTTCGCGGCGCGTTTACGACGCTTGGAAGACACTGTCGTGAACTCTGATTCTTCGGATCCGTCTGAGTCAGACGTCTCCGTAGAACCAGAGCCCCGGAGTGTGGATTCTGAGTCGGAGTTGGAGTTTGAGCACTCCATGTCTATCTCAAGGGGCGCGAACGAGTTCCGGGACTCGAGGTAGGCCGCTATAACGGGCGTCGGTTGAGTTGCCTGAGGGGCATATTTGGCAATAGCTGCCTCGATTGCGGCGAGAGCCGAATTATCCAGCCTATTAAGGCATGACGCGATGGACCCTATAAGGTCTTGTTTGGACATGATGCTGAGAAACGAATGGGGCTGGGGGGATACTGTTCTGAAAAGAACAGATCGTATTCTTAAGAACAGTAAGGGCGGGATCACCGTTCTGAAAAGAACGGGACGGTTTTATTCTAGGAGTTGTGCCCTGGTTCTCAAAAGAACAGGGCCTTGCTCTGAAAAGAGCAAGTAACTCCCTTGAAACAATATACACGTTACAATTAATAACAATAAAATAATCACAAAACAAAATGACAGTTAAAAAGCAAGACCAACAGTCAAACCGCCCCGTCCGGAGACAGGGAGGTAATAACTGGAGTTAGCGTAAAAGGACTCACCAGGCGTCGCACTGTACAGTGCGAGCAGGACAGCGGAGGCGCGAGAGCGAGAGAGCACTACCGTACGGGGACGGATGTGCGGACTACCTAGACGCGACCGCTCGAGAGCGGTGCCACAGGCGGAATCGATTTGGGTCGCTCACAGCATGCCTTTTATTTCGTTCGGTCAGTTGCACAACTCGTGCAAGCGCCCGTGAGGCGCATATGCTCCATTTGACCAATGAACGGACAGGAGGGAAGTGTGCGGGGGGGGGGGTGTTTAGTATGACTCATAATTTATTTCACAATTATACATTTACATACAACAAATCTTTGCAAACAATTATTAATAAGTATGTAACACACTATATGACATACAGCAAATCTTTATAACAACTACTAATAAATATGTGATACAATATTATAAAACACACAACACTTTGCATAGGCATACAAACATTAATTATGTATTTGACAAACACTATAAAGACATATAACAGATCTTTATTTGGCAATAACTACTACAAATACATAGGTGACAATCACTATAAAGATATACAATCAACTCTTTATAGGCATACAAAAAACATTAACAAGCTTACGTACAATTGTAAGCTTACGTGACTAAAACTTAAATAACTACATAGATCGTCTTAAAGGATATTCAACATTAATAACGTCTTAAATCTAGGCTGTTATTTACAACTGTGTAAATGTGTCAGATGCCAACGCCCTTCGTGGTGTTTCGATGCTGCTGTCCTATGAAGCAGGTACCTGGTGGCAAGGTATAAAGCCCCAGGTCACCGACTGGCATGACGCTGTCCATAACATTCGATGTGCATTTGGAGACCGGCGTCCACCACACAAGATTTATCGAGAGTTATTCTCTCAGACAAAACAAGAGAATGAAAATACTGATTTATTTGTATCAAAGGCTCGAGCGCTTCTAGCGAAATTACCTCACGGTGATCTCACCGAAAAAGTTCAACTAGATATGCTGTATGGATTGTTAAATACAATCCATTAAAAAGCGCATCCGACGAGAAGAAATTTGATCCTTCCTAGAACTACTAGAACGTGCCTGCCAAATAGAAGATTCTATGGACACACAGACGCGCCATGTCACGGGTCCAGCCGTGTGCCGAACACGCCCCGTACCGTTTTCTGGTCATCATGCGCAGAACAATAACACCTCGGAGCACACAAAGCAGCGCAACACACGAACTACTCGTGTCACCAATACAAATACGTCTTCGATCCTTCCAGTGGAACCCAAACCACCTATGATCGAAAACCCGAACGAAAATAGGCAATTCGAAGTCTCAAGAAAGTATTGTGTTTATTGTGAAAACTATGGACGTAGACGCGAGGAATGTCGTAAATTGAAAAAACAAGATTGTAATATGAACACTGTTTCGTCTACGGCTAATATAATGTGCTACGGTTGCGGAGAGAAAGGAGTAATTCGGTCAGAATGTGCAAAATGTAACTCAGGATTCAACTCGGTCGAGGTAAACTATTTCTCCCACAATGATAATCAGCTGTCATCACAAAGTACAAGTAAGTCACAAACTCAGGTGAGTCATAGTGATCTTAATTTTAATAGCTTTGATTTTTCGTTACATGTATCTACACCGTATATCCGTCCCTCTTCAAGTTATAATTACGATATAAAATCACCGTCGTATGTTAAAAAGATGAATAAATTGAATAATGATAATAATAACAATACTGTGTATAACCCAAGAGTTAAATTACGTCATTGTGAGACATTCATGCCTACGGAATTTCAAAATTGTCTTCCTAAACAGTTTTTCCCACTAAATTAAACGTAAAATTTATAATCATAAATATTTTCTACCTAAACAGTTTATGTCAGTTTTGCCATATGAATTTTTCTACGAAATGAAATGTTATAAAGTTTATATGCCTAAAGATTTTGTGTTCGTATAACCTAAATGCTTCTTTATGCTGGGGCCACAGTAACGAGAAACGTCAATGCCGAAAAACGCAACAATTATTGCCTTAATTTTAACGCGATAAACTGAGTGGCCACACTTGGGTCGGTCAACGTCATTTCAACTTCAATGCCGTTGAACGGCGTTAAAGTAAACTGACCATTTATTTATTAACTCAAAACGGGACATGGGTTTATTTATACTCCCCAGTTAGCAGGTTAACAATAAAAAAAAATATTATGTTATTTATTTAATATCTGTAACTTTATACAATTAGTGTTCACTATAATTATAATCGCATTAATTATAATTATTTTTATTTTAACACATTGTGAAAAATAAAAATTAATCACCAGTTCACCAGCTTCATCAAAGCAAAGTTCCTCAGAGAGTAGTTATTAAATGCCACATATTTTTTAATTATATTTATATTTTTTATTTGCTTTGTTTGGGGACAACGGGACAGGTGACCGAGAAAAGGGACAGTCCCGTTCAAAACGGGACGTATGGTCACTTTACGTTAATATTCCTTGAATTTCAAGCAAGATGAACGTTGACGCTGCTACACTATGTTTGATGAGTGTACATTTTTATTATATGAATATATTTTATCATTGCCTAAGCATGGCTCTGTTTGCAGAATCTCAAGAAACGTAATAACTTTTTCATTATTCCACTCTATCGTAGCCATACGTGCGACTCCGTTGCGCTCACCGTGCACAATGAGACAAACGTGGTGTGGCCGCTTCAACGCGTTAATTCGTGCGTTAATCTCTTTGATGTACCGACACTCGAGTTATCGTTCAACGGGAAACGGCATTGTTCTTGCCGTTGTAGAATTATCGCGTTAAGTGGTGGCCACACCTACATTCAACGCCCATCAACGCGATAATCAACGGCATTTCTAGTTAGTGTAGCCCGGGCATTAGTGCACCAGTCGTAGTACATTCGAATAATAGGCTGACCATGGGTTTTGACATTAAAAGTAGGACAGAATCTAACAAGAATAAGGGCACCATGATTTCAGAAATTGAAGGACATTCATTGTTATATCCAAGCAAAGAATTTACTTCCTCCCGTGTTTTAAATGGTAATAATAATAATAAATCGAAGGAGGTATGTTTATTTTCGATAAATTCTTTTGCACATAATTTAAATGCCAGTCTATCGCAGGATTTTAATAAAGAAGCTAATACTACGCTTCCGTATGATATTGGAAATTGTTATAATTCACAAACCAACAGTTCAGTTTTGCCCAAATCACACCTTAGGCCGATTTTAGGCATCCAGATTCATGGAGTTCGAGGTCGTGCATTAATAGATACTGCAGCGAAGAGAAGTATAGCCGGTTGTCAGCTGTACTCTCTACTAAGGGAATACAAACAGCCCTCCACTAGTACTTCAATGCGTGTTAAACTAGCGGATGGTTCGATTAAAATACGCCAGGTACTAATAACGAATTTACAGGTAAATATAAAACCTGGAAAGCAAGTCGCACTTGATTTTGTTGTTTTACCAGGCGCTGAAAATAATGAAACCTTGTTAGGAATAGATTTCCTTACAGCAGTAGGAATTTGTATAGATTTTGCTGTCTCCACCTGGAAATTTTCGGACGACCCAAAATTGTATCCACTGGAGTTTGAACCTTTAAGCCATTTTGAGTCTTGTGCCTCTGCAGATTTTCTTCGTGGGAATGAAGCTATAATGCTTAACCCTGAAGACCGTTATAGATTAGGTAACCTGCTGAAAGAGAATTCAGACATCTTTAGTCTAGGGGGAGCGTGCACAACATATGCTGAACATTATATTGATACTGGTGATCATCCTCCTATATCCGTCCCGCCTTACCGGTTGACACCAGCCAAGAAAGAGATTATGAAAGCAGAATTGGAGAAAATGTTGCAAGAAGGGATAATCGAAGAATGCGAATCCGCGTGATCCTCACCCGCCGTCTTGATACCTAAAAAAGATAACACTGTTAGGTTCTGTGTGGATTACCGTAAACTTAATAGTATTACTAAAACCGATACTTATCCTCTTCCTTCTATTGACGAGCTACTTCAATGCACCAAACGTCATTGTTTTATCAGCACTATCGACCTAAGGTCAGGCTACTGGCAAGTAAGTGTGGGTCCAAAGGATCGTGACAAAACATGTTTTATTACACCGTTTGGTACCTTTCGTTTTACGCGCATGCCTTTTGGCTTAAAAAATAGACCAGCTACCTTCCAGAGATTGATGGACAGATTTCGATCCGGAGGTACTTTAAAGGACACTGTCGTCTTGGCGTACTTAGGCGACATCCTTGTAATTTCGGAAGGAAACCTAGATGTACATATGAAAGATTTACAATTGGTATTTGATCGTCTTCGGCAATTTGGTCTGCGAGCGAATCGTGAGAAATGCTCCTTTGCCTGTACAGAGGTAAATTATCTTGGTCACCTCCTGACTCCTGAAGGAATTAAGCCTGATGAGACCAAGATACAGGCGATACTCACTATGAAGGAACCAACTAATGTCAAACAGCTCAAAACCTTCTTACAGACCTGGGCTTGGTTTCGCAAATTTGTACAAAACTTCTCAGGGATTGCTCAGCCTCTCACTAAGCTCACCCGGATACATGCACCATGGTCATGGGCTGAAGACCAGCGCAAGGCGTTCGAGGAACTGAAGATAAAGCTTACATCTTCACCTATTTTAATACAAGCCGACTACAGTCTTCCCTTTTTGGTACGAACTGACGCCAGCAATTATGCTCTTGGTGCAGCTCTCATGCAGGTTCAAGGCGAGCATCCTGACGAACGCGTAATAGAGTACGCCAGCAGACTTTTAACACCTGCAGAACAACGATACTCAACAACCGAGCGAGAGGCCCTTGCTGTTGTATGGGCAGTGGAAAAGTTTCGACCATATATTGAAGGTCATCCAGTTATAGTAAAAAGTGACCACCAACCCTTAAAATGGCTCCTGACTCTTAAATCACCTAGTGGCCGACTGGTCAGATGGGCTTTAAGATTACAACCTTATGATATTCGTTTTGAATACACACCAGGAAAAGCAAATGTCATTGCAGATACACTCAGTCGTCCTGTGCATGACGACAGCAATGCTTGTAGTACCTGTTCAGTGACCATAGATGTTCCTCGGGTAAGCCTAACAGAGCTACGTGCTTCCCAGCTGGCAGACCCAGAAATTAAGAAAATAATCATCCTGGATTATTTGAGAATTGAGAATACAGATATTCTAATTTCTAGTCGATGGCTTGAACGCGGTTATTTAATGTCACAAGGGTTTCTCTATCGTTTAAGTCCTGAATCAGATGCCGAGGAGCCCCAATTAGTTATTCCCGCTACGATGAGAACAAGTATTCTACAAGAGGTACATGACGTACCGACTGCGGGTCATCAGGGTCTGGAACGAACGCTACAACGTCTGAAACAGAGGTATTATTTTACTTCAATGAGAAAATTTGTTACGAAATATCTTAAAAATTGTGAAGAATGTCAAAGATATAAGATTTCCAATCAAAAGCCAGCAGGACTACTTCAGACTCCGGTACAAAACCAACGAGGCGAAGTGTTAGCAATAGATTTTTTTGGTCCACTGCCTGAAGGAGAATCTGGAGAGAAATGGAGCCTCCTTATAGAAGATACCGCCACTCGATGGGTGGAAATGTTTGCACTGAAAGAAGCAACTGCAGAAGTAATCGCTAAAATACTTATCGAACAATACTTCCTTAGATATGGGTTTCCTAGGAGAATTGTCTCTGATAACGGAGTACAGTTTGTATCAGCTGTTATGCAACAAACTATGCACCTCCTTGATACTAAGCAAAATCTTATTACCCGGAAGCGAACCCGGCCAAACGAAAAAACAGAGATCTCAAAACCCAACTTTCGATTCTGGTCCAGAACAATCATAGAGCGTGGCCTAAGTATCTGCCCGAAATTAGATTTTCTATGAATTCGGCAACGTGCTCCACTACTGGCTGTAGCCCAGCTTTTCTAATGTTTGCTCGAGAGATGCGAACGCCTTACGACTCTCAGCGTGATTTGAGGGCAATACTCTCTAAAGAAAGCTTCGTTCCTCAGATTACGCCATATCTAAGTAATTTTATTAAACGACTCGATGAAGTCCGTGATAAATCGGAACTAAATCAAGATAGGGCCAAGGCAGGTCAAGACAAGCGGCGTCAATCATCACCTCAGTACCAAATAGGTGACATGGTATTGGTAAAAACTCATGTCACTAGCAATTCATCCCAAGGCTTAACGCGAAAATTTCTCCCAAAAAGAGATGGTCCTTACAAAATCTCTCGACAAATAAGTCCAAGTACCTATGTAATTAGTGATATGTCATCCGGTGCTAGTGTAGGAAAATTTCATTCTTCCGATCTCACTTTGTTCCACAATGACGTAAGAAGTGATTCTGTACCGGTTAGGCCAAGACGTCCCCGAGGACGTCCTCGTAAGTATAGAAACGCTATGCCGCGAATTGGCGGTGCGAAGTCACAAACGAGACGCACTTGTAACTTGGAGAGGGAGAGTGTAATGCGGCAACACTTTACTCCCTTCTCTCTGCCTACGCCCGGTCCGTTAGCCAATGAGAACGACGGAAAAGGACGCCGTCGACGAGTCCGACTTCCTGCGCGTTACCGCGAATGATCTCTCTTGGCTCGTAGCTTTAAGAAGAATGATACCTAAGATATAATATTAATATTTACTGTTAACTAGTGAATAACGAGTTGTAAAAGTTATAATAAATATGTCGCAATAAACTGTGTGGTGATATTATTTAGTATATGACATGAAGTTTCACTGTTTACGCCGAAGAACCCAACGGAAATCGTAAAACACCCACACTACAAAAATTTAATTTTCGATACTTAAATTTTTTTAATTTATTATAAATTAACTAATAGCAATAGAGGTGGAGCAATTTCGGATTCTTCTGGAGCATTTAAGGAGCAATTAGTTGCATACAGTTTAATTTTAAAAAGTAGATATTTTATGTTTAATAGCAAAATTAAATTTGCGATAATTAAGTATTTTTAATTAATTCTAAATTAACTATTAGCAATAAAGGTGGAGCAATTTCGGGTTCTGCTGGAGTAATTAAGGATCAATTAATTGACATACAGTTAATTTAAAAAAGTAGATATTTTATGTTTTATAGCAAAATTAAATCTTCCAAATTTTTTTTTAAATTAATTCTAAATTAACTTATAGCAATAGAGGTGGAGCAATTTCGGCTTCTGCTGAAGCATTTAAGGCGCAATTAAGTAGCATACAGTTTAATTTTAAAAAGTAGGTATTTAATGTTTTATAGCAAAATTAAATTTTCGATAGTTATTTTTTTTAATTAATTCTAAATTAACTAATAGCAATACAGGTGGAGCCATATTGAATTTTGCTGGAGCATTTAAGAAGCAATTAAATGGCATACAGTTTTATTTTCAAAAGTAGATATTTTATGTTTTATAGCAAAATAAAATTTTCGATACTTAAATTTTTTAAATTAATTATAAATTAACTAATAGCAATAGAGGTGGAGCAATTTCGGGTTCTGCTGGAGCATTTAAGGAGCAATTAGTTGCTTAAAGTTTTATTTTAGAAAGTAGATGTTTAATAGCAAAATTAAATTTTCGATAATTATTTTTTTTTAAATCAATTATAAATTAACTAATAGCAATCTCTAGAGCCATGCATTCCTCCAAAACCCAATATACGGTGTTAATGGGAGACTTCAATGCAAAACTAGGCACAAGAGAGAACGGTGAGCTGAAAGTGTGGAAATTTGGAATAAGGCAAAGGAACCCAAGGGGCCAGCAGCTGGCCGACTTCATGGAGAAAGAGGGACTCTTTATGATGAACTCTTTCTTCCAGAAGCGGCCCCACAGGAAGTGGACCTGGTCGAGCCCCGACGGTTCGACAAAAAATGAGATTGACTTCATTATGACGACCAGACGGCAACTATTCAGTGATGTCTCAGTGATCGCGAGGGTGAAAACCGGCAGCGATCACCGAATGGTTAGAGGCACACTGAACTTAAACGTTAAGTTGGAGAGGTCTCGTCTAATGAAGTCAACGCTCCGTCCCCCTCGTGCTCTAATCCAAAGTCCCGAAACCTTTCAGCTCGAGTTACAAAACCGTTTTCAGTGCCTAGAAGACTGCAATGAAGTGGACGATTTGAATAACAAGCTCGTGGAAACTGTCCATGCGGTCGGAGCTAAGTTCTGCAAGACCCGCCGCAGAAGAACACAAAAACTCTCCGATCACACTCTTAATCTCATGGCTGTTAGACGGGAGATGAAGCTACATTCTTCAACAGATTTGACAGCATACAGGCAACTGAACAGACAGATCTTCAAATGCATGTGGCGGGACTTACGCAACTTCAATACAGCTCGTATTGAAGAAGCGATCGAGCGGAACCAAGGCTCCAAAGTCTTTACCAGAGATCTGTCTGCCAGAAAGAGCCAACTGTCAAAGCTGAAGACCGAATGTGGCACCATCGTTTCCGGGGCACCTGAGATTTTGAGTGAGATTGAGAGGTTCTATGGGCAGCTGTACACGTCATCGTTGGAGCCGCACGCAAGTGTGAGTAACGATCCAAGAGCGAGTCTTATCCGACATTATTCCGATGATATCCCGGTCGTCAGTCTGAGCGAGATTAGAATGGCTCTCCAGCACCTTAAAAACGGCAAGGCCCCAGGCGAGGATGGAATTACAGCGGAGCTTCTGAAAGCGGGTGGAAAACCGGTACTTGAGGTCCTTCAGAAGCTCTTTAATTCCGTCCTCCATGGTGGCATTACACCGGAGGCGTGGAGCAGAAGTGCGGTGGTCTTGTTCTTCAAGAAAGGCGACAACGCTCTCTTGAAGAACTACAGACCGATTTCCCTTCTGAGCCGCGTCTACGTGCTGTTTTCGAGAGTCATTACGAATCGTCTCGCGCGCAGACTTGACGACTTCCAGCCTCCCGAACAAGCCGGTTTCCGAAAGGGCTTTAGCACCATAGACCACATACATACCCTTCGGCAAATTGTACAGAAGTCCGAAGAGTACAATTTGCCACTATGTCTGGCGTATGTGGACTATGAGAAAGCCTTTGATTCCGTCGAAATTTGGGCGGTGCTGCAGTCCCTTCAGCGATGCCAAGTTGACTGTCGGTATATCGAAGTGTTGAAGTGCTTGTACAGTAGGGCTACGATGGCTATCCGAGTACAGAACCAGAGTACGAAACCTATCCAATTGCAGAGAGGTGTAAGACAGGGTGACGTCATATCCCCGAAACTCTTTACCGCTGCATTGGAAGATGTTTTCAAGCTTCTGGACTGGAAAGGATACGGTATCAACATCAATGGCGAGTACATCACTCACCTTCGATTTGCCGACGATATAGTCCTTATGGCAGAATCGCTGGAGGACCTAAGCACTATGCTCAATGACCTCAATAGTGTTTCCCAACGGATAGGTCTTAAGATGAACATGGACAAAACAAAGATCATGTTTTAATGTCCATGTCACACCTATGCCGGTAGTTGTTGGGAACACTAAGCTCGAAGTTGTTGACGAGTATGTTTACCTTGGACAAATAGTCCGACTAGGTAAGTCCAACTTCGACCGAGAGGTCAATCGACGGATCGGTCAATAGTCCGACTAGATAAGTCCAACTTCGACCGAGAGGCCAATCGACCGATTCAACTCGGTTAGGCAGCGTTCGGGAAATTACGGCACATCTTCTCGTCAGGTATATCTCAAAACTTGAAAACGAGACTGTACACCCAGTGCGTGTTGCCAGTGATGACATACGGAACTGAGACGTGGTCCTTCACTGCTGGCCGGATGAGGAAGCTCAAGGTCGCTCAGCGAGCTATGGAGAGGGCTATGCTCGGAGTTTCTCTGCGTGATAAACTCAGAAATGAGGATATCCGCAGTAGAACCAGAGTGACTGACATAGCCCAACGGATTAGTAAGCTGAAGTGGCAATGGGCCGGCCATATAGCTCGAAGAACCGACAACCGACGGGGAAGAAAGGTTCTTGAGTGGCAGCCTCGTACCGGCAGGCGAAGTGTAGGGCGTCCCCCCACTAGATGGAGTGACGACCTGGTAAGATATGCAGAAAGTCGATGGATGCAGGTGGCTCAGGACCGTGCTTTGTGGCATTCTTTGGGGGAGGCCTATGTTCAGCAGTAGACTTGTGAAGGGCTGTAATGATGATGAACTAATAGCAACAAAGGTGGAGCAATTTCGGATTCTGCTGGAGCATTTAAAGAGCAATTAATTAGCATACAGTTTAATTTTAAAAAGTAGGTATTTAATGTTTTATAGCAAAATTAAATTTTCGATAGTTATTTTTTTTTTTATTAATTCGAAATTAACTAATAGCAATAGAGGTGGAGCAATTTTGGATTTTGCTGGAGCATTTAAGGAGCAATTAATTACCATACAGTTTTATTTTAAAAAGTAAATATTTTATGTTTTAACGCAAAATAAAATTTTCGATACGTAAATTTTTAAAAATTAATTATAAATTAACTAATAGCAATAGAGGTGGAGCAATTTCGGATTCTGCTGGAGCATTTAAGGAGCAATTAATTGGCATACAGTTTAATTAAAAAAAATAATGTTCTACGCTAACTTCCTTCTGGTGTTTTGTATACTAGCATTTTACTAACTACTCTAGTCATTAAATTTTTTAATATTTGAATTCAGCTGACTTCACTCCGTCTATAACAGCTATATTCATATCGTAGTTTTTCAGATGCCAGCGCTATTGTGGTAGGTTTTGGAACCTCTATTTTCAGTATATAGTTGGACACTTTTTCAACTTTCGCACCTTATAAGATGGTTCTACTTCTACTCTACACTCCATAGTTTAACTCCACAGTTCACACCACAGACTAACTAGTAGATTATACTTAGTCTAGTTTTTTGTTTTATAGGATCGGGTGACAAACGAGC